GTATGCCTCTTTGTCGGTCAGTCGGGCGCTGAGTCAGTAGCATTCTCGTCAGGAAAATCTTAGCTTTTGGTATCCGTTAGTACTATGTTGTTGTTTTTGATCACAACCACATTAATGCGTACTATGTAAAATATATTGTATGCACAAAATTGTACATAACTATGTAACTATATATACATACATATATGTATTTATATACTGTGTATTCACGAGCTTATGATATATTCGAAGCTTTTTATTTAGCCATGACAGTGTGGGAAGGTCATCATCGCAATGCAAGCGGCTAATGCGGGCCCAAGTAAATGCACGGACATACTACGTTCACACGTACATAGTATGTAGTATGTGTGTGCATATAAACATATAGTATGTAAGTTTGAGGCTTGCATATTTTGTTTTACTTATCATCACCTCTCACTGGACCTTACACTTGTACACCACACCGTATGAAGCATGACTCGCTTTTACACACAATTCGTTATCTGTATCTGCCTTTTAAAAACTTACATACACACATACATATACTAAATACCATATAAATATGTAGTGTATAGGTATATATATATATATATATATATATGTATGAGCGTATACGCATAAGAAATGGAATATACCTACATTCGGAATATGTGCGCCTATTCATTATTTCGCATTTTCGTACTAAAAACTACCTACTATACTAGTTAACGCGAGATCTGTGAACATGTGCGTATATATATACATATACTATATATGCACTCATACATTCTTCGATTCGATACGGACTGAGCTTTTATTTTATAGCTCATAAGCGCTGTGATTGAAAACAGTGTTGCCATTTTGATCCATGTACTTTAAAACTGATACGTGTTTGTGCAAATTCTCTGAAGATACTTTATTTTTTTGCTCATTTCGCGAGATACTTCAATTTCTCGCGTAGTACAAATTTTTATACATGACAAAGAGAAACTATTTATGTATATATGCAGTGACAGTTTTAAAAATTGGATCGAAAATATTGAAACGTTTTGGGGTCAAATAAGCTTAAAGAAAAATGCTTTAAATGAACTATGTATAAAGAGCTGACTTCATTCATTTTTAATTTACTTTATTTGCCTCATAAATAGCTCTGCAGCTGCAAAGCGTACATATATTTTCAGATTTAAGATTAATCCAATATGAAAAGAGAAATAGAATTTCATTACAAACTGTTGAGAATATGATGGGGCGTATTCATAGTTAAAATGGAGTGTATCAAATAATTTGATAATTAACGTAAATGATCGGCAGCTAAGTATGTACATATATTTGAATTCAGGTTTCTATAATATCTGTACATAATATATTTATTCGTCTCTATAGAAGATTAAAAACAATAATCTCTTTTTTGATAAATTGTCACAGTGCGTAAAATATTTTTCTTTATGTACAAACATATGTATGTGTATGAATGTGATTTTAATGATTTTTCGGTTATTTATAATAATAAAAGGCAAAGGTGTGAAAAAATTTCATTTTTTTAATTTCTTTTCTAACTTGATACTTTGATACTTAAATAATAAATTTGTGATACATTTGATCAACTTTTTTGTTTTTTTCTACGACACATATTTTCATGACGACATGGCAACACTGGTTGAAAACGCTTTGCAACAAAGTTAAATACATACATTCATTTATGTTAAGTACATACGAGTACGAGTACAAATCAAAATAAAGAAAAACAAAAAAATTTTACAAAACGCATTCGCGAACGCATTCTTTGTGTACACATGTATGTGCATATTTTTGTTCAATTATTTGTCTGTATGTACATATTTATGTACGTTTATATTCTCACAAAGCTTTTACTATTGTTAAGCTCGATAACAAGAACGAATATAATAAATATGCAAGTGACGAGAAGTTATTCATAGTCACACACTCAAACCAAAGAATAACAAAGCAGAAAATGTAAAACATGAAAAATAAAAGGCCAATAAGTTTAAGAATAAGGAAACTGACTGCACAAAGCTCTTCAAGTTGTGCCTAATGTAGCAAAATAGTTAGAATATTAAATAGCTTGCTGCTCCACTGTTTCTTTTTTTTTTAATACATAGGCATTAAAAACGATTTAATTACTACATACGCATCAGGCGTATAGATTGGCTTATAGTCATCTAAAGATGCTTTTTAAATACGTAGAGGATTTTTTTTTTTAATCTTTTATGTTGTTAAATAAATATGCGTGTATACGTATACTTCCGATCGGAAAGAGGATCATTAAATAAACGATATGTCGATGTAAAATGTGATACATATGTACATACCCTTCTGTATTTGTAAAACATTAAAAAAAATCAACACACCTTTGTAAAAATTTCGAACTTTTTAAATAAATTGTTTAGAAATATTTTGAGTATGCAGTTTTGTAGCCTATTCAATTTTAGTAAAATAAAGTGCAAGTTTAAAGTATGTAGCTCCAACTAACGATTCAATAATAAAAGGTTTGCTTAGAAAACACTTTTCTCGCTCCCTCTTGACAAAATTAGCTCCCTTAGCTAGGCACCGTATGTGGGTACGTGCGAGTTAAGATAGTGTCAAAACTCTAATGTAACTAGTGAGCAAACCTTTAATTATCGAATTATGGCTCCGACTTACCGTTGATTTTTGAAAGTTTTTTTGTTGACGATGCGAGTCAACAGTTTTAACAAAAAGCTAACCAACAATCAACAAACATTTTCAGCTACGAAATGGGCTACAAAACTGCATACTCAAAATATTTCTAAGAAACCTAATTAAAATGCTCCAAATTTTTACGAAAGTTTGTAAATTTTCTTTTTTAATGATGCGCAAAGATGGAATCTTGGATTTTTACGGCTTTTGTTATAGAATAAACCATATTTTTATAAACAAATTATTAAAATAAAAAGAAAAATAATAAAATAAATTGTCAAGTCTTGTCAGTTCGTGAGTGTCTTTTTTGGAAAATTTTAAAAATTAAAAAAAAAATACGTAAAGCGTTATTAAGAGTATTTTCTAATAAAACTTATAATCATTAAGGTCCCTGTATTTTATCCGCATAGCAATAGGGCTTGTCTGCCTGGCAAGGGAGAAAGGCGATTGGCGAATTTTTTTTTATTGCCTCGGCCTAAAGCACGAACAGCTGTAGATCCAAATTAGAAGAATTGTATACAATTTGTTCAAAGCCATCAATATTTTACTTTTTATGAAAATTTTACATTACAGGGATACATATCGTCACTTGAAATGCAAAAAGTCGTAACTGATAAAAAATTCAAAATTCACTTTTTGATTGATATGATGGATTTCATCGAACTACAACTCCCCACATCGTTTTATAAAAGAAAAAATTATTAATAACGACTATTTCGATTTCATTGACGATGTTAGGTGTGTATAGTAACAAAAAGTCAGTACTAATTTTTACTGGAACCTACACATTTTTACTGGAAAAGGGTACGTTATTTTAAAACGTTCTTTCAGGCTGAACTATTTGAAAGGGCTTTCACTGAATTCATCGTAGACAAATTTTATGTGAATTCTGCAAAATTACTATCACAGAATTCGAATAGCCATGAATGTAGCATATATGTTGAATGCATACGGATTCAGTGTTCGTAGATTTCACGAGAATCGGACTACCGTGGATTCATTGACAGCCCCGAATATGTTATGTGGGACAGGGCGTTTGGCGTGGGTAACACAATGTGGTGAGTTAGTTACTGGCGCTGATACCGATTTTCATAACTCTGTACGCAATGGCGCCAGCAACACCGGGACGTTGACAACCAGTGTGCAAACCCCTTTTTATTCTAGTGTGGTAGATTCGCACACCGTCGTCAAAAGAGGCACAACCAAAAAATTAGATCGGTAAATATAAGTGCTAGTGGACCGTTCAGTATAACATTAGTTTTTTAGTTAGAGAATATAATCGTGAAGAAAAAAACATTTTCATTAGTTTGAGAAAAATCCTACAGATTTATTTATACAAAAAAATCCACCAAATTGTTTTTTCATGGCATAATACTTGAGCAAATATAAATATTCGGATTTTTGAAATGTTTAAATGTTAAGGCACAGATATAATTATAGCAAAATTTATGATGTACCTTTTTAAAAATTTATTAATAAATTTTTATATTTCATATTAGAATTGAGGTTGAAATTTTAGAGTTATGTAAAAATTGTAAACAAATGTTCTGTCCAAAAATTGGGTAGATTTTAAGCCCTGTGTGGTAGATGTGGTAGACACCCAAATTTAAAAAATATGTGGTAGATTTACCACATATGTGGTAGAGGTTTGCACACTGCTTACAACACTGGGTTTCGCAAAGAACCAGCAAAGAATACAAGAGAAACGTCAATTGTAAAATATGCAGCAATAAGAAAAATGAAAGTACACCAATTTGAGAGTAAATGTCCGCCAAAATTACAGTCGTATGAATCGGCAAAGCAAATCGAGAAAGAAATACTTGCCTTAGCCTGAAGGGGCTCTATTGCGCCAACACACTGTTCTGATTCCGCCAGTGGAGCTGGAGTTAGAGTGTCAGCGCCAAAAAAAATTGTCGCCGTGGCCGTTCACCTTTTAGACATATATATATTTTTTATATTTTTTGGATGGCTTCGCGGACCACTACGGTTATTTTCAGGGACTACCGGTTAAGCACCGCTTTCTTAGGCAATTCGAAACGTCCGACTGTAGATCTGACGACTGTAATTCAGTTAATAAATATTTTATTCTAATTTCTATTGATCTCATTTGTGATGATTGAAAGCGATTTATGTTTCAATCACAGTAAAATTATCTGATAGAAATTTTAAAAGGCAAATTTATCAAATAAGTCAGTGCCAAATCTTTCTTCTCGCTTCCATCACTTTGCCTGGTATAATTTCACTATGGTTCTCAAAAATGTTTTTTTTCTCTATTTTTTATGTCGTAATTAAAAAATATGTACATATGTGTATTTGTAAATATTTACATAAAAAATACATAATCAATTGTTTTCTTTATATTACAGTTTCCAATGAGCTCGCGCTTCAATGCTGGGTTATATAAACTTCTATAAATGCGTCCCCGAAGAACTAAGGTGGGATTTGTGGATGTTAATGGAAAGACTTTACATATTCATGGAATTCGATGCAAAATAAAAAGACCAATGTAGCAGTGATAAAAAGCATCGCAATAAAAAAAAAAAAAAAACTTCAATTTAAAAACTAAGTGTTACCATAAATATTTAATATTTCAAACATATTGATATCAAAACTTGAAGGTAAAAACCAACAAAGCATATCGAATTTTGGCCGTGTGCTTTCGAGGTCGAGGAAGGTATGGGGAATGTACAGGCGGTTAAGAGCAGATTGCAATTTTAAAGTTGTTAAACAAAAGAAGAGGCAAGGAAAGCACACAAAAACATCTAAAAGAAAGTAACAGTAATAAAAAGAATAAAAATAAAATAAAAACCACAAAGAGATACCATTTTAACTGACGACTGATTAACTGATAATGAATAAAAAGCATTGTAAAATTATATTATTAGCATATCGTTTAAAGACTAGTAGAACATATTATCCAACACTGCCTTCATATAATGAAACAATAACAAAAACAACCTTCAGCGCGTATAGTAATAAATTTAATTCAACAGAAGGTGAGTAGACCAATAGTTTCCTTGTAAACTAAATAAACGAATTATCATATTTATGTATGTGCATATGTATATATGTAATTCATTGAAATATCTTTTAGATACATAAATTTACGTACTAAGCATAACTCATATGCCAATTTCTGTTTTGGGCGATCGAATATTTAGTCGAAATTGATTTTTTGTCCAAACTTTTGTGTGTTGCATGGGCTAGCTAATGCTTGTAAGAACAAATTTATTTACATGTAGGTACGTATGTACATAAGCATATACATATGTATGTATATATAAATCCTACACGTGTATGTTTCTTTTATTTTCAAGTAAGTCGCATTGGCTTTGTATAGTTCTTGAGCTCGACTCAGTGTCAGGGCCTTCGCATTGTGGCGTACACCTAATTTTACACAAAGTGTATATTGCTTAGATATATGAGGGTACATTAGGGTTGTCCAAAAATGCATGTGAAAAAGTAAATTCGGAATTTTTATGCTCTCACCCCCTAGGATTGTTTTATTCCGAAAAAAAGTATACCCCTGTTTTTTTTTATTTTGAAATCCAAAAATATTTACAAGTCGCTCAAAGCGCTCAAAGTTTTCCATGTATTTTTATATTGAGAAAAAACAACTTTTCATAGAAATGGTATAGAATTCTTAAAAACCAATATTTTTCGATCGAAAAGTTCTGCTTCACTGCAGGAGATTCCCGGTAATAATACCCAATTGTCTATTTAACCATTTTTTTCATCGTAACTATAATTTATAGGTCCGCTAAAAACCCACAAAAATCCCGAAAAATGCAATGAGAGGACCAAAAAAAATCGTGTGTATTAAAAAGTGGTTAAATATACAATTAGATATTGTTATTGAAAGTCTCCTGAAGAGAACCAGAGGTTTCCGTTCGAAAAATATAGATTTTCAAGAATCCTATGCCATTTCTACGAAAAGGCGTTTTTCGCCATACAAAAATATATGGAAATTTTGAGCGCTTTGAGCAACCTCTAAATATTATTTGATTTCAAAATAAAAAATAGGGGTATACTTTTTTCTGTAAAGTACAATCCTAGGGGGTGAGAGCATTGCAATTCCGACTTTACTGTTTTTGGACCACCCTAATGTACATATGTGCATTCATATGGACATTGTATGTAAAGCAGCGTGTGTTTTCGAGGCTGTGCCATCAGTATTAGCTTGCGCATTCGAGCATTTTCAAGTGCAAGCCATGGCTGCAATGAAATAGCCTTTGTTATTGCCCTTTTTTCAGTGTACCCTCTGCCTAGAGTTGTCAGATTTTTTTCAAAAACATTAAATTCCCAAGAAAAAACTGTATTTTCAACAACAAAAAAACTGTTACTTTCAGAAACGAAAGGATTTTTGAGAATCAAAGTGAGTTGTAGTACACATAACGTCGTTTAAAGTACAAAACCGCGTATCAACAAAATGCAAAACCGCGTATGTGCGGTTGCATAAATTATTTTCAAGTGAGTAGAAATACTCATATTTCAAAATGGTTCTTTTTTTCATAAAGCAATCGCATTTCGGCAGCTATGGTGTAGTGGTAAGCAGTGCGCGCTTCCACTCCGCAACGCCTGGGTTCAAACCCTGGTCAAAGCAACATCGCCAAAAATGTATTTAGAAAAAAGGTTTTTTCTTAACAGCGGTCGTCCCTCGGCAGGCAATGGCAAACCTCCGAGTGTATTTCTGCCATGAAAAACAGCTTCTCATAAAAATACCATCGCCGTTCGGAGTCGGGCGTAAAACTGTAGGTCCCTCCGCTTTGTGTGACAACATCAAGGCGCACGCCACAAAGTCGGAGGAGAAGCTCGGCCAAACACTAATATATGTGTAAGCGCCAATCTATTATTATTATTATTAATCGCATTTCTGGCAAGTATATTTCAGGACGAATGGATACGGATTAGGCCAAGAGCTTGTATGAGCAACTCAAATTTGTGGCAGCAAATGTCAGTTACGCGGCTTTGCAGAATGACGATACGCGGTTTTGTACTTTAAACGACGACATACAAACATACTTACTCACGGTGGGCAGGAAGCAAAGATAGGTTGCATAAAAATGTCAACAAAAACTGAAAGCAGGGTTGTATTTGTTGATATTTTTAGGTTAAGAATCCCTTTGAATTGAAATCCTAGCTGCTCCTGTTTTAAAGATATCAACATTTTACATAGTTATGATAGGACCGACTTTTGCGAAAGAGCAAAACATCCTTGTGCATTAAATATTCAACAATGTATGTGTGAGTAAATGTGTGTATATATATTATGTGAAAATATAAGTTTATGTAAGTTTTTTAGCCGGTTTCAATCGTTTCCAAGGCGCACCACGTAGAGGCAACTTACTTTGCACCTCTTTGTTCTTTTTTTGGTTTTTTTGGTTTTATTTTTTTATATTTTTTTCTTGCTTTATTTTTTTATATTTGTTTTTTGTTTCCTTTTATTTTTTTTGTTGGCTTACCATATAATATAGTCACGCATTTTAGTATTTAAATATTTTATTATTTAGTTAAGTTTTTATATATGCTGGAATGAAAATGTCATTACAGTTTTCTTCAGGCGACTCACAAAAGTTGGTTTATCAATCATATTTATTTTGAATCTATCCCACAATTGAACGAATTCCCTATGAACTGACTTCCCGGCCTGCTCGGACCATAATCCTAAACCATCGTTATTCAAGAATGAAATAGATTGCTTTAAATGTTTAAGGATAAAATGGATTTTGACAGTTTGAGAAATTCCAGTACTTTTCAAAGCTGTGCGTAGTTCGTTAAGATTTTTATCAAAATTACTAAGATCCGCTTGTTTTGCGGAAAACCATGTATCCACGATTTTCTCATGACTTTGAACGAGACAATATATTTGGTATTGTTTTTACTGAGAGTTTCTTCCATACAAACTATGTTCGACATTTTTTTGTATGTGGAAGACACTGTCAGCAAAAAATAAATAATTGCAAAAAATCAACGAAATTTTCTGGTAACTTCAGACTTGCACTTTACTAATTGGCTCAAAAGCTACATTTTAAACATTTTTCTAAAAGATCTGATTAGAAATTGTGATCAGATGAAAGTGTCTCCGAGCCAATAATTTTGTACGGCACGGTACTTATAAGTAATCTAGGTTTCACGAAAAAAAAAAATAAATACAAGGTAACATTAAAATATCAGTCATTTGTTTCGTTGCTGTGAGCTTGTTTCAAAACTTCTGGCTTTTGCTATAATTGTAAAACTCTGTGCATGTCATTTTAACGTATTTAGGTACATACTTATATTAATCATCAACTATTGCTTATGCAAAACGTGCTACATTCAAAAAAAAAACCGCATATGAAAGAGCATCAACCCAACTCGTAATAATTTAAGTATACAAATTTTAGTATTTAGTATAGAAATATTCAATTGAAATACGCCAATATTAAAATAAAGCGCTTTGCACTTAACGGATGCTTTTTCATAATTAAGTTAAAAAAAAAAATTATTCAAATTCCATGCTGTCTGTAATGGGATTTGAACCCTGACGCTCTGGAAATTAGCAAATTGTGGCAAGCATCTTCGTGCACTCAGCTACAGCCAGACATGTAATTGTGCATTCAAATGTTCAGTTTGATTCAACACCACGTGTGCGTGGTATGAAAGTATTGTTTTTAAGTACGAACATTTCAAAACGATAATCAAATAAAAAATATTCATGTTTACTATGAGTTATTTCCCCCAGTAAATTCATAAAATTTTTCTTAATATTATAACGCGTTTTTTCTCTCAGCGTAGTCATTTTTAAGCAAAAGTTGTGCAATCAAATCGAAAACCGGGACACTTAAATGAAACCCGGGACATTTTAAGGTTGGACCGGGACACCGGGACAAATAGTCTAAAACCGGGACATGTCCGGGAAAACCGGGACGTCTGGCAGCCCTACACACAAAGCGCATACTTTCATGCGATTTTCTTTATGATCGCATTTGTGTTCTGGATGTACAATAGTCATTATTTCCAGACAGAAGAGTACATAATCTCATACAAGCTTTGAATTTATTTACTTATTATGAGGAGTACCGTTGGCCTAAGTTAGAGCATTTTCATTTCTTGCACAAGCGCAGTGCGACTTGCCTGCGCTACTTGCTTATAGCAACAAACCTTTAATAAAAAATTACTACCGTATTATATAACATACAATATTGTATACATACATACATATATTGCGATATTGAAAGTGTTTGTAATGAGAAAGTTCACGCTACAGAAAAAGGTAATTGTGGTGTTTTATCTAAGTTGTATACCGGTAGCGCCCAATAAATCTCGATCTCGGTAGGAAAATATGAAAATGTTTCACATTGATTTGATCCGTTTTAGTGAGTTAAAAAAGGGGAACAGATTTGTATGAGATTTCTTTTCGTATAAATATGCTCTAATTATCGAGAAGTACGCCTTCCTCTTTTGCAAATATATCCTATCAGAAGTATATAAAATGTGGATATCTTTAAAACAGGAGCAGCTAGGATTTCAATTTAAGCGGATTCTTAACCTTAAGATATCAACAAATACAACCCTGCTTTCAGATTTTGTCGACATTTTTATGCAACCTATCTTCGCTTGCTGCCCACCGTGTACTTACATGTAACAAAAAGCGCCTTCGCTAAACTTAAACGTAGAATAGGTAATTATATTAAAAGCTAAAGTGTGTAATATTAAGGGCTAAAAAGTGAACGTTACTTTTGATTTTAATGGATTGAATATTTTTAACTATTTTTTTTCACTATATTTTATAGGTCGTTTATCGATTTTGTTATCGATATTTATCGATTTTGTTATGGATATTTTTACCGATTTTGGTATGGTTATTTTTATCGCGTTTCTAATAGATCTTCTATCGATATTCTTATCGCTAATATTTTAATCGATTTAATTTTAGATATTTTTATTTATCGATTTTGATATCGATATTTATCGATTTTGTTATCGATGTTTATCGATTTTGTTATGGACT